TAGAATGAAATGAAAAAGTAACAGTGAAAGAAAAGTATAAATACTAGAGGGAGGTAGAGCGAGGAGTGTTGAGGAAGGAGGAAGAGCCTGTATAGCCTCAGGCTGCTGTGAATCGAGAACAAAGGTCAGAAAAGGAAATGCATAAAAAAGGTCAAGTATACATACTAAATGATATAAAGAATAGTACCTCAAGAAGGGGTAGTGGTAACAAAAGTTGAGAATCGACATTTGTCGATATAGTCGCCGATGGGTGATCTTGGAGAAATACCGAAATTTTAAGTCATGTTATAGGTCCCATTGAAATCTAAGAATACAAAGTTTGTGCAAAGAGGAAACTCACGTGACTTGAATGAGTGACGGGTGTAGCTTGGCCCATTGTAGGAATCGTGTTAGAGTTCGTCGATAAAGGATCGAGGGGAGAGGGCTGAACAGATCGAGGACTCTTCGATTTTTGTTTCTGAAATTAGAAATCGAAAAACAACGGAAGGATGTTAGAACCCAAGTGAAACGACTATAAATGAAAAGATAGAATAAACAAGGAATCGGAAATAACCTTAGATTTTTTAGAAGATGAAGAAATGGTGGCCGAGTGTTTACGCTTTCTGACAAGGGCAGAGGGATCAGACTCATCAAAGGATTCCCAGTCCTTCTCCTTCTCTTTCTCAGCAATGGTTACCTTAGAGGACTTCGAAACTGTCGAGAAAGAAGACAGTTAGCTTATAATAATAAAAAAATTAAAAATATCTAGAAAAGGCAGCAAAATCTCACCAAAAGGTGATGGAGTCAAAATTGTGACTCGATCGATATGTACAAGTCAGGGAGGAAGAAGAATTTGAGGGAGGTGTAAGTAAGGGAAATAAGATAATTTCGATACAGAAATATCTTTGTTTTTTGGTTTGGGACGGAGTGTTTCTTTCGAAGTTCTTAATTCTCGAACCCATTTTGGATGAGTTAAAGGTTTGGCAATCCCAAAGGGTGCTGTAGGGAAAATAGGAAGGCGATCGGGACAATACATTTCAAAAGGAGTTTTTCCTAAAGGATTGACTATTTTGTGGTTCAATCGATTAGTGTCTGTTTTATAAGATAAGGAGATAACAACATCGTAATAGGTCGATTCTAATCTCAGGGGGTTATAACATATTTGATAAAAATTCTCGAATCGAGATATTTGGAGACAGTGGAAGTGTATACCTTTCTTCGCTTTCGATTTGTCCTGCAACACAAAAGAAGGATGAGCAGTCAATTTCTGTCGGATCTCGTCAAAAGCAGCATGATTACTCGAGAACCAATTGGACCACCATTGAGAAAAACCCACAGTCGATAAATAATTTGATTCAAAAATATAGGGGTAAAGATGCATCGGGGTTTTTGGCAAAAGCTTGACAAGCTCCCGTCCGAGTATCGATTCAGTTAACTTGGACCTTGGGGAGGTATCTAGGGGAAAAAAGGGTAAAGATTGGCTCAGACCAAACTGTCTCGAGAATAGTTGAGGGTAGTAAGTAATGAACTTGAAATCTTTGGATTGGAAACCCGATACTAGTATATCATGAGTTAAATAGTTATTCCATACATCTACCAACTCTAGTTGCAACCCAGGAGTTGAAGTAGGGAATTTCGACTTAAACCAAATTGGCCCCCTGAGTTGGTCACTTAGTCGTCCCAGATGTACGGTAAAAGGAGCCAAAGTCGAATCGAAATTAACTTTAGTTAACAAAAAGTTGAGGTATCTACAATAAGCAGCTTCATCGGGCTTTTGGTGAGGATGACGAGAAGACAATCGGGCCCCTTCTATATTTACACTCGGGGGGACGGTAGAAGTTGGGGGAAGGATGCTCTCAAAAATCGAATTTAGCCACAACTGTATAAACCAAATAGGGCCAGAGAAATTTCCAGAAGCTTTAGGAGTACTCAAAATTTCGACGGCCTCGTCGAGAGCAGTATATACATGTGCTAGCAAAAATTTGGCCAAACATATTCTAGGTTGGCCTAGGTGAAGGAGATATCCAAGGTCAAACATATGGGAGGAGATTTGGATCGATCGGGGGCAAAAAACGTGGGTACACAACCAATACACCAAAAAGGCGATATGCTCTTCATCAGTTACAGTTATCGATTCATCATCGACGAAATGTTTCTCAAGGAAATGCCCATAAGCTTTCGATTCCCAATCGATTTTAGATCTTAGAGAATTATCCGAGGGACATGCACCTTTAAAATATCTTTCCCCTATAGGTTCTAATCCAGTAATGGCCGCAACTTCAAAAAGGGTAGGCGAAAGAGGACCGCAAGGTAATTCCAGGGCATGTATTTCCTTATTCCACAAGTGAACGGCAACCAAAAACATAGCCATGTCCAAATGAGATAAGTCACATCGGGACAGGTGCAAAAAATCAAAAATTCCCACGCTTCTCCAATGATCCCCGAATTTAGCTTTAACCCTATCAAACCATCTAATGTACAAAGGTTTTTTGGAAGGAGGGCCTGTCCGATACACCTTAGAGACAAGGTTCAAGAAATCAATCCTAACTTCAGGCTGGTGTACAAGAGCCGAACTATTCGAGAAGTTGAGGGGAGAAAAGGTTCCATCAATAGGACGAAGAGGACCCCCAAAAGCGTAATTAACACCATCAGCAATGTAAGGAATAAGTACCTGCGTCTCAGCAATTTTCCGAGAAGCTTCCTCCATCAGAGGGACTGGAGCGAACTTCTGATTGTTGATCTCCAGCAGGTTCGATGCCAATGAGGGAAGGGGTGGAGCGGAAAAGTCAGAAGATTTGGAGGAAGTTGCCATTTCAGTAACTGGTAGGGTGAAGAAAAGCAAGGTAAGAGATGAAGGCGCAGGGATGAAGACAAGAGCTCAAGGAAGAAGATGAAGTTGCAAAGGGTAAAGGTTCGCGTAAAAACCAGAGTAAAGACCAATGAAGAGATTAAAAGGAAAATCACCTAGGGAGCTGGAAACGACGAAGGCGAAAGGTAATTAATGTGACTTGTACCGTAAGGCAGCAGACTGACGAGACGGCGACATAAAGCAAAAAAGAAACCCAAAACCCCTTAAACCCTAGAACCCCAGAAACCCTAAACCCTAAGTTCTGTGGGCCTCCAAATACTAAGGCGGGAATATTGAAAGAATATAAACAGAAACTACTCATATTCTTCCAAGGGGGCATTTTGTTAGTGGCAAATCGAAAAAAGCGATCGAAATCGAAGAAAAGAAAAACGAGAAAATATGTGACTAATTGATAAATCGATAAGATAGACAAAAAACCATTTGATGTCTAATTAGAAGTACGTAGCACATAACATCGAGAAGCACAATCGAGAATCGAGTGAATGATAGCCAAATGCCTATTGTCGAATAAAAACTAAGAAATTAGAGTTATATGAGGTCAAGGTTAAAAAGGAATCGTAAGCAATTTGGAGTTTTCGAAAACACAAAATCGAAAGTGAAGAAAGCCAACCTACGTGGACATCGAGACTTTGGCCAAACCGTGAAAGGAAGAATAGTCAAACGCACATATAGGAAGCAGTTTCTAAACCATAATAGAAGTCGAAGATCGTGAGAACGTGAGAAACTGTAGAAGATAAACTGTAATATGCACGAAGAACGTGGTAGCAGTTTTGTTAACTGCTCCTGGAAGGCTTGAATGATGCCCTATAAATAGAGCAAAGGAGGAAGGAACAGGGGGAAAATTGGCAGAGAACAGGATTAGTAGTGAAAAAGTCTACCGGAGAAACGACGAACACCATGAAGCTTCTGGCAATCTGGATTTTCATGCTCACGGAGTACCTTTATCGCTTTCTTTATTTTCCTTGGTAATTTATTTTGATGCAATTTATATTCAGCAATTTTATGTTTCTGTATTTTCGATCCTTGGTCATTTCGATTCAATGCAAGTTAAGTTTCCGTGTTTAAATTCCCTGGTCATTTTACATTAATACAATTTCGATTTCCAGTCATTTATTGCACCTTTGATTTACTGTCCTTTACATTTCCTGCAAATTCGATTTCTCGATATTTCCATTGTTGCTGTTTCGATTCCCTGTCTTTTACACTTAAAGCAAATTTAAGATTCTCGTAGTTTACGTTTCTTTGCAATCTAAGTTTCAGCACTGTTTTTCGATTCCATATATTTCCTGCTTTCTTTACTTCGAGTATTCTTAATACAAAACACCAAAAATAATATCTTTGAAATCAGGTAAAATTCGATCCTCATACACATTTTTGATTGAAAATTAATTTGCTAGCCTAAGCAAAAAGAACTTACGTGGTAGAATTTTGATTAGGATCAAAATATCTTAGGAGTCGAAATCGATCGAAATTCCACATGAAACAGGTTGATAATAAATATGTTACATTGAACCCTATGGCAGACATAATATGATATAACTGCATGAGACTTTTCTGATTGTTTTTGCAGCTGAGGGGGGAATTAGCATTTTGCTTGCTTCACCCACACTTTTGCATGTTTTTATGTTATAGGAATTCAAAAGGTTTATTCATATGAAAATTTACCAGTTTTATTTACAAAATTCTTACCTTATAAAAAGTATCTGAACAATATAAGATTGAATTTTATCATCTGAATAATAATGGCGTAGATGATGAGATAAATGAATTAAAATGATTGAAGAAAAAGAATGATGTGGACTATTTTATTTCCGATGAATTTTTGTTCCATAGGATTTTTCTAGATAGGTTTTGTTTTAATTACTTACTATAGAGTGAATAAATTATCTATTTTTTTTTTTATATATCTATTTGAAATCATATTTTATAATAACGAAAATATTATTCTCATAAAATACATATATAAATTATATCTAAAAATATCTACTTGAATCATACTTTATATCTATAAATAAATACATCGATAAAATATAAAGTGAATAAATTATCTTTTTTATTTTTTTATAAAATCATATTTTATAATAACGAAAATATTATTCTCATGAAATACATATATATAAACAGGAGAAAGAGTAGTAGAACAGGAAGAAAGATGCAGAAGAAGAAGAAGGAAGAGTTCGAGTTCTGCAAAGCGTGCAACATAAACCACGACCAAGGTCTCCGCCACAAGTACTTCCCTAACCACAAGAAATCCCTCGTTACCTTCCTTTCCCGCTTCCGTACAAAACTCTCTGACGTTCGCTTCTTCCTCAACGCCCCTATCCCTCTCAATCCCGAACTCACTTCTCGCAATCGCTTCTGGTGCATCTTCTGCGACCAGGCCATCGACGAACTCTCCAGTTCCTTTGCCTGGTACACTATCCACTTTATTTATTAAAAAATCGCATCGCTATTAGCCAGGGTCTAAATCGTAATTTTTGATGAATGCCATCGGTTGTCGTGGCAGCGCCAATGCGATTCGCCACCTCGCTAGTGCCGAACATGTGAAGAATTTGAAGCACTTTTTCTGGAAATACGGCGCTGCCACGGATCAATTGGACGCGTTTATGTTTTCCGATGATGATGTGGCTAAGGTAATTTACGATTTGTTACGATTTTATTTTGAGTTTCTTTGGAGGTTTGGGATATTGAGGAATAATTGTTGGTTTGTTGTTGTTTCGTTTTTTCGAGTTCAGTGGGAGAAGAAGTGCGCGGCGCGAAAGGATGAAGCGAGTGAGGGAAGTCGCAGAACGGTGGTTGGCCCTTCAAGTGATGATCATATCCATAATCAACTTACCAGTGGAAATATTGATAGTTTTGAAAAAATTGTTTATTCGCATTCTGTGAAATCGTATCCTTCAAATGCTGTTTTGCCTTTACAAAGTTATACAAATGAGTATCAGATATCTAGTTCAGGACTATCTGGAATCGCCAATGTTGCTACCTCTTCGGAAGCTTGCGCTGGTGCAAAGCCTTTTGCTTTGCAAGATTTTTCGGGTATGCTTACCGTGTCAACTGAAAATGTGTTTTTTTTTTGTACTCTTTACAACTATCATCTATATGTGAGATTCGATAAATTTGGGTTTTAATTTGACATTTTCGGTGTACTTGTATTGTGTCTTAGTTGGAAGGAGAAGTCATTCTCTACTTCATGATGGTAGACAATCGTCAAGTAATGGTTACTCCTGTAATAAACAGGTTTGTTTGGTCTTTAGGCTTTAATTGTTTCAAATAGGTCACTGCAATCTAATTGTTTGAGTTTCAGTCTATCAGCAGTTATATGGTGGTAACATCATCGGTAAGCAAGCAAGATGAACATGTCTGGATTTTTGCCTAGTTTTATGTCTTCTAGTTTTCGTGTCTTGATGATCAAGACTATGGTTGGCTTATAACACTTCGTACTTGTACATCTTATAATTTCTAACACCTTCTCAAATTCTTCTTCTTCTTCAGTGTTGTAGTTCTCTAACCTTGCCTCTAATTCAGTACTGATAAAATATATTGCATTTCCTATCAATGTGCCAGGTGCGTGACAATGATAGAATGGTACACGAAGAGAGCACTCATCAAGGTATCTATTTTTAGTTATGAATATATTGTTTTGCTTCCATTATTATAGTACTGTAAAGATGTAAAGCATGTGCCTATTGAATTTGTACATTTAGTTGCATTGCTGAATTTGTACACTTAGTTGCATTGCTCTATTTGTACACTTAGTTGCATTGCTCTATTTGTAGTTATGAATATATTGTTTTGCTTCCATTATTATAGTACTGTAAAGATGTAAAGCATGTGCCTATTGAATTTGTACACTTAGTTGCATTGCTGAATTTGTATATGTGCATAATATTTAAGACTAATATGAATGCAGAGAAAGACTTTTAAGATTTCACTATGCTAGATAATTCTCTCATAGAGAAGTTGATTGAGGTTAACTAGAATGAAGATGCATTTTCTACTATCTCTTTTGCCTTTTCAGGTGTACAATTGATCACTCAAATTTCTTCTTTGCCTACTGAAAGTGCTGATAAAAACGTTTATTCTGAAGCACCTCCACCATGGATTGGTGCAACTGAGGTAGTTCAGATGCATTCTAATTCAAATAGGTTAGGGAAGTCCAGAATGTTGAATCCAAATCGGGTGGGAGCAGCTTGGGTTGAAAAGAGAAAGATTGAAATGGTGAAGGAAAAGAGTGGAGAGAATGTAAGGAAAGTGTGTGATGCCAACTGGCTCCCTAATTTTGGTAGAGTCTGGCAATCTGGTAGCCGAAGAGAATCCAGAAAAGAGTTTGAGAGGGAGAAGCAGTTACAGAAGTTAAATGTTGAAACACAATCTGAGATGCCAATCAAGATACAGCCTTATGTAAGCAAGAGAATGGTGAGTTTTATTCTATGGTGTCATTCTAAGTTCTAACGATCACTAGTTAGTTTCTTTAGAAACTGTCAGTCAAAATCAGCTTGCTTTGGGCTGACTTGTATTGCCCAAATGCAAATGGTTGATAAAGGGTATGCAAAATGGGCTAAAGCTCATTATACAATCTAGCCCATATTGACTAAATTGGTGGGATGTAGGTGCATTTTTTTTTTTTTAATTTATCCAGACTTCGAAATTTTTAGCACATTTTTCTTTTGATAGAATCATAAATAGATAACACAACAATTATTGCAAATGGTTTTTCTGGGTAGTTCTTTGACCAGACTGAGCTAACAGAAGCAAATTGTAATATTTTGTTCAAGTATTTTGAGAAACAACCAATATAAGTTGGTCAGTTAAGACAGGTAACAGTTAGGCTGGCTTGGCAGGTGGTTTGTTTAACGTTAATTAAATATATGCTCCCTACGTATTTTTAACTTAAATTAGTTAGTTTGTTTAGTGAATAATTGATTTCTATTATTTATTTTTTAAATTTAAATGTTTACTGAGTCAATCTCTTACCCAGTTTATTGCCCATCTAAGTGGACTTCACAGCAATAGTACAGTGTGCCAGCCTGCCATGGATGAAAGGCAGAGCAAATTGGCAAGTAAGATTGTGATGTTAACATTTGGATACCAATATATTTTGACATTTTTAAAGCTGAAATAGAAAAAATGAAGAGTACATACTGTCTTGGGAGAAATAGTGTCCTTGCCTTGTCTTTGGTGAAATTCAGAACAAACTGGCAAATGGATGTGTGAATTTATATTTATAGCACTAAGTTGAGTTGTTAATTTGGGATTTTCCTTTTGCCATGTACTATAAAGCTATTATAATATTGATATTTCAGTCATCATATGTAAATATTTAGATATGTTCCTTTTTTTTATTCTCTGCAGCGGATGGATAGTGGAGGTGATAATGCAAGCGGATGAAATTTGTAGTAGCAAACACTCGATCGAATCCTTACTGAAAAGAGCTTATAAGTCTTTTCATCAAAGTCATTTGGTCTCACTCGATTTCATGTTAATGTTGTAATTATCCTTATCAAGTCATGGATAGCCATTAATATTTCGGCAATATTTTATTTCATTCAAGACCATACAGAGTCTGCAGTGGACATAACTCAAGCTGCTAGAGTGGGTTTTTCCCAACCATCATGTATACAAGCTAGAACATCTCTGTAGTGTAGTCTCTTGAAATGGTTAAGGAGTAGTAGACTTTTCCATCGCTACTTCTCTTGTGATCAAACAACAGATATGAATGATTGAATGCAGTTAGTTTTCCAAATCCAAAGTCACGGTTTCTGTAAAGACTCCAAATAGGGGTGCTGAGTTGAAGTTAGACAAGTGACTTCCCCCTCCACCAACAACATGGATTGTTCCATTCACAGTGCCAGAGTAATGATGCTTTTCTGAATTCACACATTGGTTCTGCATCATGTGCATTTATATAATTAGATAAAACAATGTTAAATTGAAAGGAGAAACAATGTCTAGTTATATGCATTATAATATATAAATACCTGGTAAATGGGACATATTCTTTCGTAGTTATGGACGTGACCATAAAATGCAATGTCTACTTTGTACTTTTGGCAAAGCTTCTAAAAACGTTCCCTTCCCATGGGCTCTTCAAATGAGCCTTCCTTTCCATACACCAAAGATTAGAGGAGTACCCAAGGGGACGATGGGCTGAAAATATTAGCCATGGTTGATGTTTTCTATCTACTGATACAAGACAATGTTCAATGAATTTGTATTGTTCTGTTCCTTCTCTCCAGACATGCTCACTATCTGCTATGCATAAGCGAAATAGGCCATAATCTGCTTTGTACCTACATATTTCCAATTTTCATCATTTGTTAGAAACATGAAATAATAAAAGTGAGTCCTAAATCTTAATTGTTACAATCAAAATGTACATAAAAAATGGTTTCAGTTTTTTAGCTGTAAAAATTAATAATGGATGAAAAGGTATCTTTTGTAGATAAGAATAAGTTATTAGTAACAACGGGTTAAGATAATATTCATCATGTTGGGCAAAGTCATATGACACGTTTAAATTAGAGAAGAATATCTTACTTATTCCAGTTTAATGAATCATAATTTGTATTTAGATTAATGTAGCAGACCAGAATTTGGCTCTATTTTCAGCAGGAAAATAGTACATGGTTTCTGCAAGAACACCACATTCTCCACCTGCATCTGGAGTATCATAAAATGATCCTGTGTTTGGCCAATCACGTTCATGATTTCCACTACAATATGAATGAACCAAATATTTTCAGTCTAATAAGATAAAAATTTGATTTAAATGTCAATGACATAAAATAGTTGTAACCAAAGAACCTTGCAATCATTTACGGTACTGTTGATGAAATTTCTTGCACTTGAACTGTGAATTGATCCCACTGTGAAATGTATCCATTTGCATAAGGCATATCTCCTATATGGAAAACAATGTCATAATTGTTCAAATCCTTGATGAGTTGGTCGGTGGTGTTCAGTGAACCAGGTTGATAATTCGAATATTCATTTGAACCATCACGCTCAGCCTATCATGTAAACAAAAATATTATTTTCCCTATTTCATTAATCATGTCTGTAAGTGTAATTTTCATTTAAACATTGCAAAATAATGATCCATTGACATTCCATTTTCTTGGGAGATGTTCATTCTTTTATCATTATAAAATTTGAAATAATTAATGCTACCTTTCCCATGTCACCAAATATGATAACACGTTGCAAAGAGTTTTGGCCAGGATATGGGGATGCCTTGAACGAATACTTCTTACTCCATACATAAGAACCATCAGCCAACATATGTCCCAACCTGTATGTGTACCTAAGTAAAAGAGTAAAGATAAACCGTTCAGAACAAAATACAACAATATATAACAGTGACAAAAACATAAAAGGATAATTTCTTACACACCTGAAATTTGGCCACAAATCTTTTAGGAAACTTGTGTGTATAAAACCAGGGTCACGTCACGCCAGCCAACAGTTCGTGCAGGTTTACCTGTATAATAACAAAACATCCTCATTAAGCTGTATGTCTAGGTTAATATACCAGTACAATTACTGTGCATTGATATCCATTTTAAATAAAACAAACAAATATAAATTCTTTTAAAGTGAGTTACTGTGCTTCGTAATTAACGTATTTCAACTACTCATATGGTTGGGCTCTAAAGGAAAAACAAGAAAAAAAAATAAGAAATAGTATACATGAGAATTTTGAGGTGCATATGAGACCACACAAAATAGGACTTGATATATTGTACTCAAGAAGAGAATAGTGTGGTACCAATTTTGGAAAAGGACAGAAAATTAGTTAAGTTTATTCTACACATGATAAGAAAGTCATTGGAAAAACACTAGTAACAAGATTATATTACACGGTTTTAACCATGTCAAAAGGGAGAAATATGTTAAGATGGACAATCGAGAAAATTAATGATATGTTTGTTTCTATGAATGTATTGTTGTCAGAAACAAATGAGTGAATTTATGTAGAAATAGATGTGTTTGTATATGCTGATTTCAAATGATTTGTTAGAAAAGATGTGTGAGACTCATGCACAGTAAAATACCTCTTATGTTGCGAAGAAAAGAGGTGAAACTAGCATGCTAATTGAGAAATGTCTATATTGTAACTTTTCTTTTGTCTTCTATGCAACTTTCAACGTTACATTTGAGAGATTCCCTTCCACCACTGCACTCACACAACTCTTTATTTTCTAACTACCATTATGCAAGACATTAATAAACATTGATTAAAGTCTGATTTTCACATTGTTTCTTGTCATGCGCGTTGAATGTTGTCATGACTCTGTTGAGCCTTTGAACAAACCCGTGAACCTTGGGCAACAATTGGTAGGGCTTGGATTTCTCATGCATTCACTGATATTGCATAAGGAGAATGAAGGTGTGATTGTGATTGAGCTTTGCAATGGTGTGGGAGATTGAGAGATCGAACGAAGGAACCATAATGATGTTCCAGAGGTAGTTTTGCTTTCACCCATCGGTGACGATTTCAGTAAGTCACATGATTACTTTTCTTCCACGATTGCTTATGATTCTAATGATTTAATATGTCAAATTACATATTGTGTTCAGAGTTGTTAATGATACAAATAAAAGCCAACATAATCGATTATAACGCAGTGTGTAATAGATTATATTGGGGTCCATAATCGATTATGAGTGATGACATAATCGATTATGTTGAACTGCATAATCAATTATCGTTGAAGACATAATCGATTGTGCCGCTACTCCTAATTGATTATCAGAAAATTGATAATCGATTATGTGCCTATTTCATTTGTTTTGTGCATTATACATGTTTCATTATGGTTGTTGTTTGCATCTTGTGATTTACACTTAAATATTGAATTAATTGTACACTCGTCATGAAACATAATTTAAAAAAAAAATGTTTGGTTAAATAACTCCTAATTGATTATCAAAAAATTGATAATCAATTATGTGCCTATTTCATTTGTTTTGTGCATTATACATGTTTCATTATGGTTGTTGTTTGCATCTTGTGATTTACACTTAAATATTGAATTAATTGTACACTCGTCATGAAACATAATTTTAAAAAAATGTTTGGTTAAATAATTAGGAATTACATTGTAGAGATTGGTAGCAAATGTATTGAAAACAACAAATTTTGACATAAATAGTGTGTTAGGAAATAAGTAAATTGTCTTGGTCAATAATATAGGCTTATATGTAATGTCAATAGAAAAAAATTTCATAAGTAATTTTAGATAATTAATTATAAAAATTTCTAGAAGTATACATAATTGTCAATTTTAAGAAATATAATGAGGAGTTAACTAACCAAATGATAAATAAATTATTCAACTTTTTTATACGTATTTAATTTGGGTTAAGACGTAATGTATTTAATTATAAGGAAATCATTAGAAAAATTAAGTAACCATTTTTAGGTAATTAAAGACCCTTCAAATTATAAATGTTTATAAAATTAGTTGTTTAAAAAATAATCATAAGTTTAATTTTTAGAAAATTAATTTGTGTTATAAGTAATGAATTAACAAAATTTATATAATTATTTGAAGGTGGTTAATTATAAGAATGAATGAAACTATAAATAATTGTAAAAATACATTGTATTGAAAATAATGATATTGTTGGATTTTGTAGTTAAATAATTACGGTTTAGAGTTAAATTAAATTAAAATAAAAAATTATAAGTTAGAATTAGAAAATAATGGTTCAAATATTTTTTTTAATTAATTGTTAAGTCAATATTTTTTTAATTATAATATAGTTATGAAATAAGTTATAGAATTTTTTTACTTTGATTATTTACCTAGTTTTTAATTTAAGGTCTAATTATTTATGTATGATTTATGTGTCTAGTAATGTTTATTAATGATAAATTTATTATTATCATTATTGATAATATGGTAGAAGTAATTAAAGTTAAATATTTTGTCTAGAAAGTTATTGTTGTTCCACAATGAAGAATAGAAATGAAGATTATATGAACTTAGAAGATGAACAAGAAATGAATACTAATATTGTGGGCATGGACATGTACATAATATGTCATGTTCACAAGCATATACAACAAAATGTGAATGTTGGGCCCTAACCATCTTATGTAGTGTATTTTATGCATTATACATGTTAGAAGATGATGTCTACCACCACCAGCAATGTTAACTTATATGGTCTGAAAAATATCGTTGTGGATGTGAGTTGATGTCGTATATTATGCATTATGAGCGATGTCGAGATATTATTCGCATGGGATCTGAGGCCTTCATCCAATTGTGTCATCGATTAAGGGTAACTGATATGGTAAAAGATACATTTAGAACAACAGTAGAAGAACAAGTTGCTAAATTTTTACATATCTTAGGGCATAATGTAAAAGTTGAACTATCTCCTCTCTTTTTTTCATAGATCTAGTGAGACCGTCATTCGACATTTTCACAACATCTTAAATGAAATCATGAAATTGGAGGAAGAATTTTTTGTTCAACTCTTAGGAAGGGATGTGCAACCACATATCTATATTAATTTGAGATTTTACCCCTATGTTAAGGATGATCTTGGGGTAATTGATGAAACTCATGTTCGAGTCAAGGTACCACGATTGCATGCAACTCGTTTTCGTGGTAGAAAAGATTGACCAACCCAAAATGTTTTTGTAGCTTGTGATTTTGACATGAAATTCACATATGTCCTAACAGGATGAAAAGGAACTACATCTGATTCTATGATTTTAAAAGATGCCTTAACAAGAAAGGGTTCTCTCATGATACTTGAAGGTATGAAGAATTGACCAAATGATAGAAT